GAGCGCGTCCGCACTCGCCACGAGCTGCGACGCCCTGCCCTCCCCACGGAGAGGTCTGGAAGCTGGGCTTCTGGGGAAGGCTCTGGCCCAGGGCTACCCAGCTCCCGGGGAGACCGGCAGCGCCCCCAATGTCCCCCGCAGGCCTCTTTGCACTGCTCTCCTCCTCCTCCGCGGCTCTGCGCCCCTTGGCAAGGAAGGGGTGGGGTGAAGGGGCTCCCGGGAGGGGCGCTTGGTGCGCCTTGGCATGGTGAGGCCACCGTTTTGTTCTGTTCTCGGAAGCAGAAAGTAGGACATCAGCGGCGGAGGGCTGTTCGCAGCGCCCACTCCCGCCAGACACCCCCGCCTGGGTTGGAGGGATGTCTGGGCTTGGCGCGCTGATCGCGTCCCCTGCGCCTGCTCTCTGAGCCGGAGCCCGGAGCTCCCGGTCTCCAGGAGCACACAGTCTGGTTCCTGCGCCGACGTGGGGCCCGGCCGCCTGTGGAGCCGGCTTTGGGCTGTGCACAGGGCAGCCCCGCAGCCCTCGGGTGTCTTGTCCAGTTGGTTAGAGGCGAGCTTCGGGAGGCATCTGAGGGGCCAGTGTGTGTCTGTACTTCAGCGGGGGGGCACGGGACTCTCCAAGTGTTCCTCCAAGTCTGGGAATGCCTGCAGCGACCAGCTCCCGGGATGTCTCGCTTTTGTACTGGTGGAAATTCTCCTCCTGAAATAAATCCTCTGTAAAAAGCCCCAAAGGGAGGGACAGACACACCCTTGGAGGGGAAGTAAGAGGAGGAAGGTGGGGAGGGAGCAGTGTGGGTCTGGCTCCTAACACACCCACAGATCCGGCCAGGGTGGCCCCAGGAGGCTCTCCCATCCGTGTCCTGGGGGAGCGCCAGGCCTCAGCAGAGGGATAAGAAACAGCGTGTTTCCGCTCTGGCCTTGGCCTGGGTCACTCCGCGTCTCCGCAATGGTGTCTGCGTCGCCTGCGGTGCTGCAGGCCGGTGCTCAGGTGCTCAGGGCACCGTGGGGCGCCGACCACCTGGACTGGGTGCACCCTGACTCTGACGCCTCTCTTGGCCCTGCAGGCTGCTGAGTGAGACCGAGAAGCGCCCCTTCGTGGAAGAGGCGGAGCGGCTGCGGGTTCAGCACAAGAAGGACCACCCGGACTACAAGTACCAGCCGCGCCGCAGAAAGAGCGTGAAGGCCGGCCAGGGGGACTCAGACTCCGGCGCCGAGCTGGGCCACCACGCGGGCGGCAGCGCCTTGTACAAGGCCGAGGCGGGCCTCGGCGACGCGCACCACCACAGCGACCACCCCGGTGAGTCCGGAGCGGCCGACTGCGGGTGCACACGGGGCAGGGTAGGGGAGGCAGCAGTGGGCTTTGTGGCTGGGACCGAGGTGAGCGATAGGGATGGGTGGAGAAGAGGGATACTTCAGGGATGCAGAAACAGCTCCCCCGGCCCCTGCCCCTCCTGTGCCATAGCTTTGCTGGGGCCCTGTGCCCTGAGACGGGGCAGCATTTTGGGGATCCCTGCCCTCGGAGAACCTTGCCCCTTAACTCTGTGGGTTTTGTGGGACGCTCACTGCTCACTGCACTGACCCCAGTGCCCAGCAGCACTCCCCTCCCTCCATCTCCACTCGCAACCTCAAGCTGCCCACGTGGTGGTCAACAGTCGGAGGTGCACAGTCAGGCTGGCCGGGTGGTGTTCCCGGCGGCTGAGTCACCACGGGCGAGCTGGTGACATCCTTTGAGACCCGGTGTGTGCAGCTGGGCCACAAGGAGAAGGGTTTGGGGTGCAGGAAGTGTCAGACACACAGGGCTGTGTATTCACCTGGGCCTGCCGCCTCCTGGTCCCACACCTCAGTCTCCACCGAGGCCCTGTTTGTTTCAAACATCCCAGTAGAGCAGCGCTGCGTGGAATTTTCTCAGGCCAGGAGCAAGGGAGGTCTGGCCTGGCTTGGCTGGACTTTCTGCAACACGAAAAGGAACAAAAAGCCGTTGATCTACCTGCGGCTGTTAGGTTGGCCGTTGGGTGCCTCCCGTTCTGCCTGTGCCAGCCCGCCGGCCCCCCACAGAAGGGTCCATTCATTCCTGGACGTGCTCTCTCCCCAGGGCAGACCCACGGGCCACCCACCCCGCCCACCACCCCTAAGACCGACCTGCACCACCCAGGTGGGGGCAGCGGCAAGCCAGAGCTGAAGGTAGAGGGGCGCCGCCTGGTGGACAGCGGCCGCCAGAACATTGACTTCAGCAACGTGGACATCTCGGAGCTGAGTAGTGAGGTCATCAGCAACATGGACACCTTCGATGTCCACGAGTTCGACCAGTACCTGCCCCTCAACGGCCACTCGGCCATTGCCGCCGAGTCGGGCCAGGCGGCCACTGGCTCCTACGGAGGTGCCTCTTACTCGGGGGCAGCTGGCATGGGGGCATCCCCGGTGTGGGCCCACAAGGGTGGCTCGTCAGCCTCGGCGTCGCCCACTGAGGCGGGCCCCCCGCGGCCCCACATCAAGACGGAGCAGCTGAGCCCCAGCCAGTACAGTGACCAGTCCCACGGGAGCTCACCCAGCCGCGCCGACTACGGCTCCTACAGCGCCCAGGCCTGTGTCACCACGGCCGCGCCCGCCGTGTCCGCCGGCTCCTTCGCCGGCTCGCAGTGTGATTACACTGACCTGCAGGCTTCCGGTTACTACGGTCCGTACCCCGGCTACCCGTCCAGCCTCTACCAGTACCCTTACTTCCACTCGTCCCGCCGGCCCTACGCCTCACCTCTGCTCAACGGCCTGTCCATGCCGGCCGCCCACAGCCCCACCAGTAACTGGGAGCAGCCTGTGTACACCACGCTGACCCGGCCCTGAGGGACGCTGCTGCTGGCCACCGGGAGGAGAGCCCTGCAGAGGAAGGGCATGCTTCCTCGACAAAGACAGTCCTGGGGTCTTGCGGAAGATAACTCTCGGACCCTTTGGAGTCTGCGGGGGACCGTGTGTCACTGGGGTCCCCTAGTGCCCAGATCCCCAGACTCAGTGACAGACACGCTTTTTCCTTTTCTCTCTTTGCGGTGACTGGGGACTGGAAGAGGAAGGATGGCTACTGGGTCACTGTCCCCTGGGGGCCCCAGACACCAGGGCATTGGTTTTGCATCTTGGTCAGTGCAGGACAGCCCACGGCCAGAGAGCACGGGTGTCGGGCCGGCTGCGTGCAGAGATCCGGGGCATGTTCCGGACCGGTGGATGATGTTACCGTGGCAACGTGCATCACCCGGGATCCGCCACTCGATCATCTCTCCCCGCAACCCACCCGTGTGCTCCAAGGCGTTTCTCGTCATCCCAGCCCTTCGCAGCGAGGTTCGGCGGTGATTAACCTTCCTTTTCTTATTTTGGAAGCTTAAAACTGTTCGGTTCGTTTTGAATGCTGTTAAAAATGTATTTATGTTCTATGTTATTTTATCTTTAATTAATGAACTCATTTGTGCAAAGAGTAGATTTTTTAAGAGAACCCAAGCTGGGGAAGTTTAGAGGGGAGGTGAGGTTGGCACACCCATCCCTGGGCAGGGGGAGGCTGCCAGGGGCGGACCTGGGCAACCCCCACCCCAAGCTCGGGGGCCAGAAACCCCAGAAGGGAGAAGGGTTTGTCTTGCGCCTTGGATGAGGTTGTGGCCTGTCAGCCACCAGGGCTACGTCAGAGCGTGGAAGTCATGGGCATTACGGAACCTTGGTCCCTGCCCACGCCACACTGAGAGGGACAAGCCCGGATCTTCTGGGAATGGGTGTCTGGAGAAACACTTTTCATCTGCCTGTTAGGAACCGGGCGTCACCTACCAAGCTGTGAAACTAAGTCGTTCACTAACCGTTTCTAGCCCCTTAACTGTACAGGACTAGGCCCGGTTTACCCCGGCGCTTCCTCCGTGAGCCGGGCCCACGCTAACCCGCCTGCCCCGCAGAGACCTGTGCCTTCGGAACGGTATAAATTCAGTGCGTCAGACAAGTGCTACTTTTTACTTTTTCTACTTTTTCCTACCTTTTTCTAAAAAGCCATTTTTGTTGTTTTTGAGTACTTCTCTCTGGGAGGGGGGTGGGAACTTCGGCAGACTCTATTTTTCTGTGTGGAGAGTAGGACGACATCGGCTGCCACTCACCTGCTGTGTGTCTCGCTACTTCCTGACCAAACAGCGCTAACTTTTGTACAGATCGATTTGATAAAATTAAAAAAGGAAAAAAAGAAAAGGCTTTTTATTTTCATGACTTGTGTTTTGTGTGTTGCTGTGGGATCCCGTTTGCAAGGAATTAGGTGACAGTCCTCTGGTAGGGATGGCTTCCCACTTTGACCTTGAACCTCGCCCGCCGACCCAGAGCTGGCGAAGGGCTCCTGAGTCCTCAGGAGGATGTGGCCATTGGAGGTCCCCACTGAGGGTGGGAGCAGCTCCTGGGCCCCAGAGAAGGCCAGACCACCTGCCCTCCTCTCGGCTGACATGACCACCTTTCACCTCTTGGGAAGCGGGGTGATGCATCTTCCTTCTTGGGGGGGCCTCTTCGCTGGCAAAGCAGGTCCAGATGGAGCAGACCCGGCAGGCTTTCCTCCCAGGCGGCCCCCGAGCCAGTTTCTGGGTGGCGGTGCCGTGCGGGGAGCTGGCAGTATTTTGGGGCCCTGGCAGGCAGCCAGCTGGGAGCTGCTTAAAAGCCCTGCAGGAGCCCGGCGGAATTGTCTGCTTGGCAGAAAGCGTTTCTAGGGAGAAAACGGTTGTGGGGAGGTAGCCTCGTCCCCCGCCAGGCCGCGGGGGTGCACACGGGGGGTTTCCCGGGGGGGGGCTGGCCTCGCGGCCCCTCAGTCAGGGATGGGAGGGCAGGTACATTTTCTCGGGTGTCTCAACGTGCATGCAGGGCTAGAGGGTGGCCAGGTGGAGGGGTGCCCTCCCTGCCCCTTGCCTGCCAGCGCCCGCATGGCTGCCCTCCAGGCCCTGCCCCTCGGCCCTTGGGGAGCCGTGTCCTGGCTGCCAGCAGCAGTGTTAGGGAAGAGCCGTCTGATCTACAAGCGTCCTTGAGGTGAGGCTGAGCCAAGCCTGAGTGGGCCGGGTCTGGGGACGGGGCTGCCAAAAGCTGGGCACAGGCCCACCCGCTGTCCGCGTGGAGCTGCCCAGCCTGTGCCACGCCCAGCCAGGGGCCAGCCAGGCCCAGACGGCCCTCGGCACTGAACCCTCGCGCTTGGCTGGCCAAGGCCAGCTCAGCTGCCCCTCCGCAGTGCCGAGTTTGCTGCGGCCGAGCCAGTTTCCCAAGGACCCGGAGGCCCTGCCAGGCGTCTGTGCTTGGCTAGGCTCCGAGGGTTAACTCCTGGGGCTCCGGGCCCTTGCTGCTGCTTGCGGGACCGCCTCCCGCCTGCCCTGGACCCGGCCCACCTTCCATGCGTTTTTCCATGTTTGAGTTTTGGGAAACTTGGGGGAGGGGGCACAGCCACCCCTCCAAGTGCCCACCCTGGCTTCTCCTCTCTCTCTTGGTCCTCAAAGTTCATCCCCACCTCTCCTGGCCCCTCCTCCCTTGACCTGACCTGTGTCTCCTGCCCGGACCTCTTCCTGCCCCCTGAAGTCCCAGCCATTCTTTCCCGGGAAAGCCACATGCTTCTAGAATCCCAGCTAAAAACAGACTCAACTTCCCGGGCCGGATCCCCCACCTGCCTCAGTTTCCTCCAATGAGAGGAGAGTTTGGGCCCCGCCCCCGCCCACAGCCTTTCCAGAATAAGGCCCCGGGAGGTTGCCACCCTCTTGCCCACAGGGCTCAGGAAAAGGGGTCCCGGTTGGAGGCAATCGAGGGTCGAGACTGGCAGGCCACAAAGGGGTGGACGCTGGTTGCTGACGTCAGCACCCAGACACACCACCGCCCTGCCGTGGCTGGCGAGTGCCAAGGGCTATGCCCCATTGTCCCTCCCCCTTGGCCGTCAGGAGGAGCTGGGCAGTCGGGCTCCCGGCAGCACCTTCCCCTGGCTCGCCCCGTCCCAGGCTCAGCAAACCCTTAGCCTCCAAGGGGAGCCCTCCGCCCGGGGGACTGAGCTTGGCCTAGGCAGGGAAGGGACCCGTAGCCAGAGGGCCCTCTGTCCACCCTCCCACCCTCCTCTGAGCTTCCTCCGGCATCGAGGCTAAGCCCGCAGACAGGGTCTGAGGGTATGTGTCTCTGACTCCACTAACAGAGAGTCTCCAGGTGACACCCGGGGGTAGGGGCCTGGAGAGGACCCTTGGGGCAGCCCTCGTCCTCCAGCAGGGCCTGGGGGGTGGCTGGGACAGGCACACTCAATGGACAACCCACTCTCAAGGCTGCTCTGGGCCCCACCCTGCCCCAAGTCCCTGATAGCTTCCCTCAGCTTCTCTGTTCTCCCCAAGAGCGGTAGCCCATCAGCTCGTCCCAAGAAAAGGCCTCTCACCACCGAGCCAAACCCTGTGCCCACAGAAAGGGGAGAGGGCTCTCCCGGCCCCGGCCCTCTCTTGGAGAAGGCCCAGGGGAGCTCCCCGCTGGGGTGAGATGGCTTTAAGGGGCGGATCAACTGTGCGCTGTCAGCTCTGGGAGGCCGAGAAGGTGCCCACAAAGGCAGGAGCTGCCTGGCCCGGCCTCCCGTCGTGTCCTTGTTCTGGGAACAGAGGCCTGCAGCCGCTCTTGCCTGGTCCCTTCCCGCGGTAGCCGGTGTCCTGGAGCCCTCCACGTGAGGGCACGGGGGAGGGGGGCGGGGTGTTAGATGCTCTGCACTGACTCTGAGTTAATTGACTTTTCTGTGCCTTGGTTTCCCCCCATGACCACAGGGACAGCCAGTGGAGTTACCTGGAGGGTTAACCCAAGAGGGCTCGTGTGGCCATGCACATCCCTGCCTGCCTGCTCGGGCCGGTCAGACCTGGCCTGGCTCCCGTCCTGAGGATCCTGGGGTCTTCGTTCCCTGTTGTGCCCCACCCCAGTGACTCGCGATGACTTGTTGGCTCGGACCCCTCCAGCTCAGCTCGGAGGGTCACACTGGGACAGCCCACCTGGTCCAGGGATGATCTGGCTTTCTGTGAGACAGAGCCCTGGTGATGCACAAGGCCCTCCCGGATCCCCCCTAAGGTCCCCTAACTGGGTCAGCAGGCTTCTCCCGGGGAATGGCCCTCGTGGCCTTCAGAGCCCTCTGGCCCTCTCTGCCTGGGCCGTGCAGGCAAGGTGCCCGTGCCCGGCATGGCGACATTGCCCAGCTTGGGGACGCTGCAAAGGGTTAAGGGCGCAGGGGCCGACGGGCAGAGGGGCTGCTGGTGTGGGGCCAAGTGCGCTGGGGGGCCACTGCATCTTAATGAATCATTATTGCCGGCCGTCTTTGTCTTTCTTTATCCGGTGCACAATAAAAGAATTAATTGGACAGAGAATGGCGGGGCAAGGAACAGGCCAGTCATTACGGGCTGCTGAGTGACGGCCGGGCTTCGCTCCGGGGTGGGTTTCGGCTCCAGAATGATAATGGCCAGGAGGATGCTTTGTACGCGCTGGGGCCGCGGGGCCGGGCGCTGCGACGTGGCCATTGTGGGCCGCTAGCCGTGGTGATTTGAGTTGGATGCCAGGGCAGGGCTCTGGCCGAGCTCTCGGGCAAAGCAGGGGACACGGCCCAGCCAGGCAGAGGGTTTATTCATTTTTGTGTCACGACCCAGGGTAAATATTTAGATGTGGAGAGGGCTTTGGGGCGGCACACTCTGCCCTTTGGAGCAACAGGCTAAGTTTTCTTCAACTCGGGGAGGATGGTGGGTTTGGGGGGTACGAGAGGGAGGCTGCTCGCTGGGAGAAGCAGGAGGGGAGGGCAGAGCGATGGGGAGGAGAGGAAGGGGAGAGGGAAGCGTGCAGGGGAGGGGGCGGGGGGAGAGAGGAGA